AAAAAACTTTTTTCCTCCATACTTTTTTGAACCAAAAAGAATAAAAGCCACAAGATCCATTCCCCTCACGTCAAATGCCAATTATCTGGGTATTTACCTGTCAGTGGGGAATGCAGTCATTAGTCACAGGCCCTTATTATGGGCCCTCTGATCGGCTCTTTTATAATAACCTGCAAGCATTCTCCAGCTTTATGAAATTTTTAGCAACTCCTGTCAACTGAAAGCACCGGTTTATGGATGAAAACCTTCACCCCCGCATCACCAGCGGCAGCGTTTTGCGCAGGACCACAATAGGGTAATTGCAAGGCATCTCGTTAGCACGTACAACAGCGAATAAATAGACTTTGGGACTTGAAATGGCATCGAGGGGGGCCTGGCAACTTAATGAAACATTAGCGCGAGTGCGGAAGGTTTGTTGCTAATGTCCTCCCTTTGCAGTGTGGATTTCTGTAAGTCTTTAATGGGAGGTTGGGGAGGAGGTGGTTGGGTACGTGCTGGAGCAGTTCAGTTAATGAAGGTCACGGACCTTGGGTGAGTAATGCGAGTCTTGTCACCATTTAGAGAAGAAGGGGACCAGGCAGGGCTGAAATGGGAATTGGCAATGAAAAGAGAGCGGGCTCTCGAGTTGAGATTGGAGTTTTAAGGACTAAATCTATCTTGCGAAAGCAATTGATAAAACTCGTAGCTCTGGGAAAAAGGGGACTTTGGGAAATGTTTGGATTTGGGGGTTTTTAATCAGCTTTGAGGTCTTAGGAGTTGGAAGCTGCTGTAGAATTTTTAAGGTTGAAGGGAGCTTCTGGAGGTCATTTCCGCCAACCTTTAGTTACATCCTTGGTCTGCCCAGGGAGCCTTATAATCTCCACAGGACTGTGACCTTCTGTCCTCTGCTGAGTGACCTTGGAGTCCCTAATTTGGAGCTTTTAGGACCTCTTTATTTTGCTTTTTTTGGCCTAAAAAGATATCAGAGGAACAGCAAGAGTTCATGTCCCATGCACAGAAATTACCTTGGCCAGAAACCAGGGCTCCCACGACAGGCACAAGGTTGAAGTGCTGTAGCACACACTGATGAGCCTGAAGAGGAGGAAAAGGGGAAGAGGGGCAAATGAGAGAACCTCCCTGCTGTGGAGTGTGGATGGAGGCACCATGGGACCAGTGGCAGTGGTGGTAGGGATTGATTTGGGATAACAGTAGAGCCCTTGAGGAGAACAAGGAGACCAAAGTAGAGCCCATCAGAAGAGCCAGGCATTAAGGAGGAAGGTTGCCTTCTGAGAATGCAGTTATGGGAAGTTGGAAGAGCATGGAGAAGACTTCCTGGGATGTCTGGGGTGGCTTTAGGGTATGGTTGGCCTTGTTGTAGAGGAAATTACTTTGGCAGAGGGGACAGCAGGCTTCCTAGGAAGACTTGGAAGGCTTTGGGGTTGGAGGGAACATGTGAAAAGCAGCTTCAGCGCTCTGGAGAGGAGCAGCTACTTGGGCTGGGACTTAAATTATCCTCAAAGGAAACTGAAAATTCTCTAAGAAACGCAGTCTGTCTCTTTATCAAAGCTGGAGGAGATGTCCTGATTTTTAAAAACTGCTTGCTCATTGGGAGTGCTGCATATCTGCTGTACACTTCTTAAGTGCCATTTGGGATCACAGACAGAGATTGCTGTGGATGTCCAGGTTTCTCTGTAAGGTGTCCTGCTGCTTTCTTGCTTTTGCCTGTTGGGATGGGAATGGAAACATTAATGAAAAAAACATTTTCCATTAGCATGAAGTGCACCTAAAAGGGTTTGATCAAGAACGAACTGGTTGGAAGGGTTGATGTGTCAATCACTGCATTGTTATCCAAGATTTATTATGGATCTTTGTGAAATTATTTCTGCTGAGGAGCGATGTGGCCCTGTGGCTGCCAAAGGGGGATGTGTGGAACCAAACCCACGAGCTCCCTCACGTTCTCAAGCTCTTGTGGCTCCATTTTCTGTCTTTTGTGGCACGGTGCCATCGCGTTGCGCTGTTAATGTGCCAAGCGCATTTTCTAGCGCTGCTCAAAAGATGTTCTTTAACCTTTCTTGTGTCCTTCTGTCAAGTGCCAGAAACACTGAAGTCTGCTTCAGTTTTCAGTTCCGCTTGTCTCTGTGCATCGCTGTGAACTTGAGTAATCTGAGCAAATGTGTTTTCCTTGTCTGGAATTGTTAGTTTTTTAAACATCAGAAGTCAGCACGTCGTGGTCCTGTCCAGGGGGATTTCTGCTCCACGTGCGGATCCACAGAGGTTGGAGACCTCTGGGCTTTCCTTTCGGGCGCATCGCCCGATCCAACGGCCAAATAACCTCGCCTACGTCACGTTGTCAGCTTTTATGACTTTAAAGTCAGCTTTAAAGGCACCTCACTTGCAGGGGAACGTGTCACAGAGGAAGCCCAGGCTCTCTTCGGGTGTTGAAATACATTGGAGTGCTGAGGAGATGCATGGAGATGGGAGGTGACCCTGGCCAGGATTGCGCTGCCCAGCTGATTTTTGAGAGCGATGGGTAGAGGAGCGGTGAGGACAGAGGAGCAGAAGCAGTGACCCTGTGAAATGGCTGGTCTAAGGTTTTATAGATTTCCATGGAACACTCGCAAGGCAGTTGGTTTCCCTCTTCCCCATCCCCTAAAAAAAGTCTTGCATTGATGAGATCGTCTTTAAATAACTTTCTCGGTGACTTTAGAGGCTTAAAACTGCCAAGCCGGTACCAAAAGCTGTTACGATAGTGCAGATAATGACCCTGTTAGTTTTTATCTCCAGGACTTGGTCCCGGTCAGGTGCTTCTCAGGCAGCTAAAAATACCCAGGCTGTACAGCGGACTATGGCAAAACCTGCTTTTTGGGAGGCAGGAGCGATGCCTTTGAAGTTCAGCTCAGAGATAAGCAGGTTTTTAGCAAAGTGGTGGCCTAAAAGAAAGGTGGTGTGGGATGAATCTGCTCTCTGCAGCATCATCCGAACAGGACAGACCTAATGATCCCTCCAGAGAGAGTTTTCATCAGCTGTGTTTCGTATTTGTATGCAAAAAAACAAACCCATCTGCATTTATATAACTTAATAGTTTAAATATGCATGCCTGTCCCGCATAAATAAATTATGTGTATATCTGCATAAATAAGTCCTTTTAATATTTATACGCAATCTATATTATTTCTGTGTGTATTCATAATTGGCGACACTTACAATTGTAAAATACAAAATACTCCTGGGACACTGTAGCTTGCCTGAGTGGCTGCTGTGTTTGATTTGGCTGCGTCTTCCAGTTGACAGAGGTGGGCAGGAGCCGCTCATCCCTGCGTCCTTCTGCTGTATTTTGGCTTGAAATCCTGCTGCTGTTTCGCAGCAGCACAAAGAAATACTCCTCATCCGTCTCAATTTTTCCATCTTAGTGTTCGCTGTCCTTATTTCCTCTGTCACTTTTCATATAAAAAGGTCTATGTAAAGACCTGGTGGATGATCCAAACTTGGTTGTGCTGGAAAAGTACGAAATAACCTGTATTTACAGCCATCCTGCTTTCCTCAAATGCCCTTATGTGCTTTTGGAAAACTTTGGGAGTTTTGGCAAAGTTAGCAGAGGGACCTAAACGTACCCTAAAAAATTGAGTCTTTATAGGAATTGTAATTGTGAGAGTATCAGAAGTTGTAATATTATTGTTTTAAATTAAATAGAATCTCTTGCTTTGTGTCTCAAGGGGCAATTTGTAGAACTATTTGGTCACCAAGAATGCATTAAAAAAGTAATATTGGTTCATTCTGGTCCATTTTCTCCCCGTCCAGGTTCCCAAAGGCACCGACCAGAACTGGACGCAGAAGCTGTACAGCCGGCACGGCGGGAGCCAGCACTTCCAGAAGCCCCGCATATCCAATGACTCCTTCATCATCCTGCACTTCGCTGATAGGGTACCCAGCCACCCCTCACGTCTCTAACACCCAAATGAGAAATGCATGGAAGGAAACAGCTGCCACACGAAGAAAAATTAGTTTATAGCACCGACCAAGCTGCTTTTTGACAATAGGGATGCATGGTTGGCACTAATCTTGGTTGGGTGCTCAGATCTAGATTGGCTTGGAGGGCCTCTGAAATATTTTGCTAAGCTTTGAGTAGTTGGGCTTTCTAGAGTAGAGAAAAATCCTCTTTCTCAAAGCTGCGGTGAAATGAATTTCTGTAAGGGCAGCTTGACTGAAAATATATGGGAAAAGGGAATTATTTTTGAAGAGCAGGAGCTGAGAGCATCATCAGTGCGGTGGGGAGAAGCGGGATGTTCTTTTGCAAGCTTTGCCTGTCTGCATTGCGATCAGGTATTTCGGCCAACTTTGAATGTAAAAAATAACCTTTTTCACCTGTTCTCTCTCAGTTCTTCCTGTGCTCCCCAACCCTCTGCAGCTGAAAAGCCAAGAGATGTAGTCAGGAGATATTTGATGTTTATTGATTAGCTTAAAAGGGGCTTGGGAGAGAACAAAAGAGCATGTAAAGGGACTGATGATCCTTGCAGTTTTACCCCTGGTTTCCATGGAAGCGCGGTTGGGTCCCATACGGAGCAGTTTGATGACTAAGAAACAATTTGTGTTGGTGTTAAGGATTTTGCTTTCATTCAGATTCACTTTCTTTGATTAAAAAGTGACCTTTAAATTCCATTTATCCCCCCTCACTGCTCCCTCTTTGGTTTCTCAGGTGAGCTCCAATAGCGGAGTTGCATTTGAGACACAACACCTTGTCCCTATATAGTTGTACTTTAACTTTTGGGTTTCTTCCTTTCTCTCCTGCTAGGTGGAATACCAGAGTGAGGGATTTTTGGAGAAGAACAGGGACACTGTGTACGAGGAACAGATCAATGTCCTGAAAGCCAGCAAGGTAAAAGCAGAGAGGTGGGAGATAATTCCTGTGCTGTGCTGCTGCAGGTCGTGTCTGCCAAAGTGGTTGGAGGCACCTCCATGAACAGCAGCAAAAAAGAGAAATAAATGGGATGTGGAGGAAGGAATAAGTGGGGAGAGGAGGGATGAGGCTGTAGGGAGCTATGATTGCACCCAGGTGCGAATGTACGTGGTCCTCTGCTCTCCTCCACCCTGATGTTCGAGTCCTGTTGAGGTGCATCAGGAAAATCCTTTCCAAGCTTGTTCATTCTCCTCTTTTTTTTTGGTCATTGAGAGCAAAAAAGTCAAGAAGAGCCTGTTATGGAGCAGTGTAAATCCCACTTAACTCTTGCTTGGAGCTCCCCAAGTGGCTGTAGTCCATCCTACTTGGCCCTGCAACTTAATGACTTTATTAATTAACATGCAAAAATAGAGTTAATATACAGTGCTGGAAATATGACGTGAACTATGAGACGTTCCAGCTGCTGTAGAGCTGTTTTACACTGCTGCTGATATGCAATATTAACAAATTAACACCTATTGATGGTCATGCTTGCTGTGGCTCCTGTATTACAAGATTTTGTGCCATGTACCTTGCATTTATTCTTTCTGTTACAAATTTTGAACCCCCCCTTGCATGTTGCAAGCAGACGTGTCGCTTATCCAGATTTCTCCTCTTTGTGCCACCCTCTCTTGGGTTTACAGTTGAGTATCACCTTGCAAACGCCACCCTCAATAAGGAGTTTGAGGGGGAAGGGTTATTTTTAGGAGTGTTTTAAGCAGGACTTGGCTCTTGTCAAAGTAAGAGAGGTGAGAATGGGAAATCAAGTGTTGTCAGTGGCTTACCCTCCATCTAAGTGATGAATTCACATGAAGGTGGCAAAATGTGCAGTTTTATCATCCATGGGGATGGTTGCAAGTCTGGGAACTGTGAAACTAAACTTTAATAATGCCCAAATCAAGATCTCTGTGTGTTTGGGAAGTTCACAGCTTTCCCAGGGTGAAAACTGGGCATGATTAGAGCTTATTAGAAACACTGGGTAACCTGCAGGAATAATTGATGCTGTGTGATGAATTATTTAGCCAGTGCTGAAGCTGCTGTTGGAAGCAGCGCTGCAGAACTGGAGGTGTCCGATAGGAATTTCGATTGGATTTCTCCCCGTAGGTGCAGAGGGGAGAGAGATGTAACTCATTGGGGTAGCGTGCTGTAAAGCAGTGGGGATGGTGCCACCTGCAACCCAGTCCTTATAAAGAAATTTTAAAAAATGGTGAAATGGGTTGTTTAACAGCATCTTCGGATGATAATTTGGTGAACTTCTGCCTTTGGGCCATTCCTTTAAGGACGTGGGAATGGTGGCTGTCGTCAGCCTGTGCCGATGCCGCGCCATCCCGGGACAAAGAGCAGAGCTTCCCTTGGTGGGAGCATCCTCATCCTCCTCCTGCAAAGCCTCCAAAACCTGATCTCCTGCTCCTATGTTTGCTAACCAGCAGATTCAGTTACCCTGATTTTTATAATATTTTTTTGCCCTCTGTGGGTATAAACAAATAAACAACCAATTTAACACAGCAAGGACTTAACCACCTCTCCGTCAGCAAGCGCGTCACTGATGAAGCGCTCCCACCCAGGCACCGTTGCGTTCTGCTAATTAGGATGCAATTACTGCCACCAACGAGATGGGGAAGGAGACTTTCTGAAGCGGCTAATTACTTTTGCTAGCGCTGGTCAGCTAGAAAAGTTGAGAGCTGACGTTCCTTAAATTAAGGAAGCAGATTTGAATACTGATTGAAAGCATATGGGCATGCTGTTAAGGTGTTATGTTCCAGTCCTTTATAGTTATGAATTATGCACTGGTTGGGAAGGAGAGATCCGTCCTTCTCCCTTATCCCACAGCATCCGTGGAATAGGTCCTGGGCCGGTCCCAGTTGCACCAGTTTTGCTGTAAGCAAGCAGAAAGCTCGTCTCTGGGGTTCTTGTTGAGCATTTGTGCAGGATCAATATTATTAAGAAGATACTTTGAGACCTGAAATTATAGCCGGGGGTTTTGCCGCATTGTCAGGCGTGAGGGGATTTGTTTGATTTAACGTTTCATATTTCAAGGTTTGTTGAGCTATGAAAGAGAACGGCCAGTGGTCCTGCTGACGTGGTTTATGCAGGCAACGCTTCTTGATTTCACTTTATTGCCCTGTTTTCCCTTCCTGCTTGAAGATGGGGTAAAAAAAAAAAGTGACCGGAGCAATGTGACTTGGTTGGGTTCATGTGTTGTCTTTCGTTTTAGTGTCAAATGGTAGCAGACTTATTCCAAGATGAGAAGGATACGGCACCTGCTGCTTCCAAGGGCAAGGGAACATCCAAAATCAGCGTCCGTTCTGCTACACCAGCCGTCAAAGCTGCCAATAAGGAGCACAAGAAGACGGTGGGACACCAGGTAACCTATGATACGAGCGGCTTGGTTGATGGCAGGGGAACAGGGCAGGTCAATCCAGGTACATTTTTACAGTTTGGATCTTGTTTCTTCAGTTTGAAGCAGATAAATATAAAGGGGATAAGTGAGGAGACCTTCCCGTGACCTGTGTTGAGGATGGGAACAATTTGGCGGTTGCATTTTGAACACGTATTACTGTCTCTGGATTAGCAGGCCTGAGTAGTCTTGATGGGAAACAGTTAAGAAATGGTCTAAGGAGGGCAGACGCTGCTCTTGGAGTCACTGGACTGTATCCTTAATGTACTACAGTGCTCGTAAATTGAAACAAATTGAGAAAAAGAGCCTTTTTCCTCCCTCTGTGGACACTCAGGTGGTGCAACAGGGGCCCAGAGAGGTGGTGCTGTCTCCACCTTTGGAGATTTTCAAGGCTCAGCTGGGTAAAGCCCTGAGCAAACACTTTTTGCTGTTGTACATCGTTGAACTTAAAGCCCTCAACTCACCAGCGTCCTTCTCCGAATTGCTCCAGCGTGTGCCTCGCTGATGGGGAGGTTCATGTTCTGTCCCATCTAGAAGCTGGCACCGCTGGTGGCTTCTTGCAGCCCCTAGCAGCTTGGGTTATGTGGTTACAGCACCTCCATCCGTCCTCAAAACGAGTGGTTTTGTCTTTCAGTTCCGCAACTCACTGTATTTGCTGATGGATACCCTGAACGCCACCACCCCGCACTACGTGCGCTGCATCAAGCCGAACGACAAGAAGCTCCCTTTTAGGTAAGTGGGCTTTCCGATGAGCAAACATGTTCAGCATTGCAAACGCAGAGCGTGCTGTGGACTTTTCCTCTCGCTAAAGAGATATTCCCTCTTGTAATGCTGTTCCCCAGACTGGAAGATCCCTGTCATTTGCTGGAGTTGCTTCTCTTGGGTTTCATTATGTGCCTTTTCTGCCCCTGAAATGAAGATTAATGCAGGTCCTAGTAATGTGTAGGTACACTCTGCTAACTCTGAGCATCCTTGCTTTTTAGGGTCTTTATACAATTTCACCTTAGAATTGCTTTGATTTAAATAGTTAATAGCACTAAACGGTGAAAAGTAGCAGAGAAAGGAGTGAAAAAGTGGAGGTAAGTAGTGGAAGAGGTAAAGATGGGGCTTCTATCTACTTCAGGCAGGTTTCCAGGTGAGTGAGCAGCTGAAGCAAAAGCCAGTCTTGATCTTCCTCTGTGGTTTAGAGACATATCACAAGCTGTGAACTTTGCAAGTAAATAGCTGTTAGCCTTGTCCGACCTCTTAGATAATGTGTATCCGATTTTGTTGCCTGTGACTCCAAAATACCTTGGCCACTGGTATGCAGGGACCTCATAGATCGTGATGTGATGTCTTCTAATGGCCCTGTCGTAAACTGCAGGTGGTGACATTTAAGCAAGCAGGGTTATAATTGCAATGTGTAAGCAGGGAGGCATTTCCCTCCAGCTGATCCGATGCAGTCTGAGCGTTCCTGGTGAGCACGGTGCCACCTCGGCGTGTGGGGACAGCTCTGACAGCGTCCTGCAAAGGAGGATGAAGCATCCATGAACAAGCTCAACCTTGGGCATGATGTGCTGGTGGATGTGTATCCACCAGGAAGCTTCCCTGGCTTGCCTCTTCTCCCCCTGCTAACAGTAAAGCAAAGGGTATTAATGGTTAGAAGGCATCCAGAAACTAGCTTATATGTAACTAATTAATTAGATGATTAATTCACAGCTTCTGTTACTCTCTGTAGTGGAAGCGCGGTAGATGCGCTGCATGGTGAAACAGCTTCACCTTTCCAAAAGGTGTTTCCAAGACTCCACATCCCTACTCAGCTCGAGTTCAGCCCATTTGGCTTCCCTTCTTTCCCTTTAAGTTAGCAATTCAGTTTTTCATGTGATGCTGCGGGTGCAGTTAATATCACTTTATAAATGTGCAAGCTCCTGCTTGTCAAGGTGCAATAATTATCTTGATGAGCTCAGTTCTTCTCAGATGCTATGGGTAGCAAGTACCAGGAGGACAATCCTGCTTGTGTCTGCCTGCAGTCTGAGTGATCACTCAGTCCCCATCTAGCGAATGTCAGAGTTGTCAGAGCTCAGGATTTTGGGAAGAAAGGACAAACCAAAATAGACACGAGAATGGTTCTGGAGGAGCAGCGTGCAGGTCTCTGCAGCCAGCGGCATTCCAGGAGTCACCATGGGCTGGAAATGATGGGGGATGCTTTGGGTTGGGGTGGTGGTGTTGCACCCCCATCTGCAAGCCAGAAAGCACTGGTTCAGGTGTCTTGTACTGGGAGGTCCTTCTGCAAGAGATCATTTCCCTCCTCACCCATCATGGATTGCTTAATTAAAATTGTGATCTGGGAATCTTGGTCAATGTTTATTTTGCTGCCACCAGCTTGAGGAATTTGTGTCCTTAGTGTGGCTTAGTGTGAATAAAGTGCGTTTATCTGGAGAACACTGAGGTGGCTGTGAAGGATTCTGCATTTCAGAGGCACTTGTGCTGAAAAATACGCAGTGCCAGGAGGCATTAGAGAAATGAAACATCAGCGGCGCTGTTCTGGCTTAGTGTTAAAGTGTTACCTTGTAGCATGAAGAGCACTCGGTGTTACATTCATTGTTCAGCGAATAAACATGGAGCTTTTTCTCTTCCTGAAACAGAACGTTTTTCAGTTCACAAGAACATTACATTTTTGCCTTTTAGCAAGTAGACATTTAGCCTGGAGAAGAGAAGGGACCTAATAACAGCCTTACGTACTGGAAGTAAGCAAGAACAGCCAGTACTTACTGGAAGTAACCTGCACTGCTCTCATCCTGCTTTCCATCTTGGTGCAAAGTGTAAGGTTTGTTTCTTAGGGAGATGAAGGGTCTTGGACTTACAGCCTGGAGGAAGTGTTGGCACCACACAGTGGTATTTGCTGTGTCTGAGGTTGATCCCGAATGTAGAAGACTTCAAAGAGGTGTGAGGGGAATGCCTGACTTCAGCTTGCACTTTGATTTTCCTTCCAGATTCTGTTTCAGGCCGGGTTTGTGATCTCTTACTTAAGTTTCAGGGGCAAAAGCAACCTGCCAGGTGCTTCTGCCTGCCGTGGCAAGGAAAAGGAGCTCATAATAATGTGTATTGCCCTACTTTTAATCTCTTTATTTCAACCTCAGCCCGTTGCTGAAGAGGGCCTTGGCTTTACATGCAGATAAATCACTGCTGCTGCCCTGGTTACTGCATTTCACCTCCACTTGGCAGCGTTGGCCGCGTTGTAGAAAGCTCCCCTCACCTACAGCGTAGGTTGCCCTGGGATCTCCCAGGACCGAAGCTTCCCCGTCCATCTCCTGGCCCTGTTTATTATTTATTGTTATGGAAATCGTACCCTTGCAGATTCTTCCTTGAAGTGAGTGACAGCCGAAACCTGATTTTCCACCCTGCATCGTGTTTGCGGTGTTGTAGTGAATAACTTGCTGTAGACCTGACAGGTCGAGGGAACTTAAGAATGCACAAAGTAGCAGAAGACTTATTTCTTATGCTGCTTTTGCACAACGGAGACCAAGCAGAATTATTCATGCAATCTCGACCTGCAGGAGGAAATATTTTGGGCTTTCAGGCAGGGACAGGCAGGCACCTGAGAAGTTTTTGTTGTCACCCTTGTTCTGGAAACCTAATACAGCTATGGACGTCTGCATCTATGGACAACTATGTTTTGTGAGTCCAAGCTTGATCCAGCAACCCTTTACAGGGCGCAGCCCAAGTGTTCAGCTGAAATTTGGTACAAAGTTGGTCTGCAAACCCCTGGGATCTATTAAATCACAGAATCACAGAACGTTAGGGATTGGAAGGGACCTCAAAAGATCATCTAGTCCAATCCCCCTGCCGGAGCAGGAACACCCAGATGAGGTTGCACAGGAAGGCGTCCAGGCGGGTTTTGAATGTCTGCAGAGAAGGAGACTCCACAACCTCTCTGGGCAGCCTGGGCCAGGGCTCTGTCACCCTCACTGAGAAGAAGTTTCTTCTCACATTGAAGTGGAACCTCCTGTGTTCCAGTTTGTGTCCGTTACCCCTTGTCCTATCATTGTTTGTCACCGAGAAGAGCCTGGCTCCATCCTCGTGACACTCACCCTTGAAATATTTATCAACATGAATGAGGTCTCCCCTCAGTCTCCTCTTCTGCAAACTCAAGATACTCAGTTTCGGTATGGAATTTAATATACCAAATTTATTTTGCTGTTGAGTTGTATTACTTTCTGGAAATTCATTCTTGCCCTTATAGCTGCAGAAGTAATATTAATCTGATTTATCAGGCCTCTTGTGATGGGTCCCTTCTTTATCCTTTATTTTATTGCTTTACATAGCCGGATAGTTGATGGCCGTGGAGAGTAATTGCAGCAGATTGTCGTCGTGTCCCCAGAGCACCACCTGGCATTGATAGCAGGGCAATAGCAAGGTCCATTGCACTCGAAAAGCACAACGCCTTGTGACACAGGGAGAAAATGTGTGACATCTGTGCAAGCTGTTGCCACAGCAAGGCGTGGGGTTTGTGGTTACGCTGAGGTTTGCAAGGGAATGGGTATGGGCATCCATGGATATATGGTTTTCTTCAGCATCTATACTTTTTCCCCCGAATTGGAAGCTAATTTCTGTCCCCAGAAGAGTCGCTATCAAGCTGTTTCAGGCAGTAGTACGTTTTTCTTGTAGTGTAGTATTCTGATGGGTATGAAGGACTGAATTTCCTCACATGCACTGCGTGTATCAACAGGTCCAAAATTAGAGATACTGCGTAGGACACCAACATAAACGTTATTGTGGATGGTTTAGATTGCTGATGTGGGTTCCTTCTCACTGTGTTAATCTCTGTCCTAAATACAATTGCAGTTTTGATCCGCGTGGAGTGGTGCAGCAGCTGAGAGCCTGCGGAGTGCTGGAGACCATCCGCATCAGTGCAGCCGGCTTCCCATCCAGGTACTGTGCTGGGAATTTGGTGCTGCTGGTGGGATTTACTCAGCAAATTCATTATCTGGGCCGAGGGAGGGAGAAGAAAATACCTGTGCTTTCAGGCCAAAAAGGGCTTATTTAGGTTGGTTTATATCCAAGATAGATTTTTCCCTTTTTATGAACCCCCCGTTAGGTCCTGGGTTCCTCAAGTCGAAGAGATTTGTTATCAAGCAATGAGCTGCAAACTGGGGCTGCCAGAGGGTGTGTTGTGTTGTGTGGTGTGGTGGTGTGGTGTTGTGTCCAGCATTTCAGCTGCTCCTGAGAAGTATTTTGCTGTGGTAAAATCTCTGAAAATGCTTTGATTTCCATCGTGGATCCCATACAGAGGTGGACGCCAAGTAGCAAAATAACATCTCTATATCTCTGCATCCAGCTTGCCTGGGAGGAAGCGTTGCCCTAGAGGTGGTCCCCATGCAAGAGCTCCTTGCACTGTACAGTTTAAGGTCCTTTTCTTTTCCTGGCTTCAGACACCTGCTGCAATAGCAGCTTCAGCTGAAAAATTTTTGATTATACTTGCAGAGAAAGAAAATAACAGTTGTGAATTATTATTGTGGACTTTCACACATCCAAAGCGTGCTAGGCTTCAAACTCTTGCATCTTTAAAAAGAAAGGTTACGGGCAGTGTGGCTCTTGCTGATTGTGATACGAAATTCAGAAAAGGTTTATTGAGGGCCGAATAAATCAGAAAACAAACTATAAATAAGCCCTGAAGATGACAAGGGCAAATAATTCTAAAAATGCACCAATTGCGTTTTAGTGCCAAGCAGCTTTGTGTTAATGTCAGCAGAGCCATCAGCCTTTTTATTTGGAACAAAAGAGTTATAAATACGCTCAGTGAAGAGTCGGCTGAGCGTGATGTTGAACATCATGAGAAACTCCTTGTCCTGGTTTTTGGGGAGGATTTGCTGCCTTCCCAGTTATTCTCATCCTCTGCAAAGAGCCTCTGGTTGATGGCAGCTTCTGCGCGTTGACATGGGATGGCTCTTAACCTGTGTGAAACCTCTGTTGGCTCCCGAAAACTGGTGACGGGGATCAACCTGGCTGGCTGTGCTCAACTCCTTAAGAAGGAAAAAATGGGAAAAATAGAAGGGTAAAGGAAAGAATAATGGATCATAGAAACCGATTTGTGCCAGCGTGGGAGATGGCAGGGAGGCAAATGGAGATTTGGGTTCTCCTGTTTTGGGTCTGACCCAGCACCACCTTTGGCTCCCATCTCTGAAGCCTTCAAGGCATTTGTGGAAGTAATGAATAAAAAGTTGTTCCTGAATGACATATCTAAAAAACACCCCCTGGCTCTGCAGCGGTGGGTCCCAGGGGTGGTTTGGGGAGCTGTGGCTTGAGGGTTGCCCATGGGTTTTTGCCCTCAGCAGAGCTGCAGAGATCCCCTCTTCCTCTCCGTTCATAATCTTGCTAAAAGCTTGTAGCATTTTCCCATCTCTGCTCACTTAACTCTGCAGTTCAGACCCTATGGCACTAAAATCCACTTATGATTAGTACCTGGGGAAGAGGAGAAACCAGCCAGGATCAATTTACGGCAAATAAATGACCCCTGCAAAGACCGCTCCATCTGGGAAAACTCAAAAGCGATGTTTTCAGCTCTCCTTACATGCTTGTAGTTATAAGGCCATTTTTTTCCGCTGGACTCTAAAATACAGAACTCTTCCATCACTGCAACTTCTCAGCTTTGCTTCTTCCTCTAGGGGGAAAAAAAAAGGGGGGTGCAAATAGGTATTTCAGCCTTTCAGAGTGACCTTCTCCAGTTCGGTGTTCAGGATGCTTCATGGTTAGATTTGTCTTTATTTTAACATTTCTGTTAAATAAATGCAATAAAATAGTCGGTTAATGAAATAAGATAACCACATACAGCAACAAGTCTGCATGAAATAAGGCACTCGCTGTGGGTCTTGGTGGTTCTTCGCCCTCCTTGGTGGTAAAACCCCAGGCTTGAAAAGCCAGAGCCAGGAGTTGGGCAACATCATTGAAAGATTGGGAATAATCCGTGTATTTGAATTGGCTTTAGAAGCCAGCTCGACAGAAGCTGCTTCTACAGGATCTTTTTCTGTGGGAAAAGCAATAAATGTTTTAATTCTTTCTGATTTTTCATGTGCAGGAGATCGGTCTCAGTTTTCATCCCAGCCAGCATTGGTTATTCTTCCTTGATTCCTTATTATTTGCGACAAGTTGAATTATAATGGTTGATTAGGGATAAAACCAAAAAAAAGGAGGATCACTGCTTTAAATTTAAACCCTATGTGAAGGCTAGAAATTTAAACCACTTAAAATAATCATGGCAATAACTTGGGCTTTGCGAGTTTTGCTTCACTTGGGTGTCTGCAATTTACCTTTAGGGCAAGAGTGAGTTTTCAGAATGTTTTATCCTGAGAAGTTTTGTGACAGAAAGAGAGGAAAATTGTCATTTTCATCTTGCAGTATTTGTATCTGAATATTTTCCAGCAGAGCGTTGTAAGATATTCACAAAGCGATGTGGCTTTGGGTCGGAAATCTCTGGGTAAAGCCACCTTGTGCTGTTATTTCACACTTTTCCATCACGGTTACTTTGTGGGTTGAAGAATTTAATGTTTTAAGGCTTCAGTATTTCTTTTTCCTGGCTCCTTTAAGAAAAATAGTAAGTTTTAATCCAGGTTTTAGTGCTCTCCAGCCCGTGTAAGACATGATATATTCCCCTTGAAGCCTCACGCTCCCCGTTTTGGGCCCGCCCGGCTTTATTTTATCATTTCTATGGTACGCTGCACTCTGCCGCTATCTCGAGTAAATTGAAAATGTATCGTTTGGTTTGAAATGTTACGCAGCAGATAAGAAATGTGGGTTTTAGCGTGTGTATAAATGACTGTGATGAATGGACTGTCCTAAATCCGTAGATAGTAAATCTGTCATCGGCTTCCATGGGTAAACCGAAGTCTCTGCACTATAAAACAATTCATTTTCTTTGTAGAAACTGGCCACGTAAAGATTAGGCTGTAGATAATTAATTAGTGCAGATCTCCATTAATAACAGAACACTCTTTAAAACAAGTTTTTTAACTTTTATTTTGTCGGAACTCCACATTTTTCATGCTGGTTCTTGTTGTTTCCAGTCAGGGTTACAACGGCAGCGATCTCCCACTGTGCAGTCACTCCAGAATGCTCTTATTGTAGTTTTTACGTATGAAATTTATTGTTTAACTGTTCTTGGCATTTGGCTGTTTCCTGTGGTTGCTGGAGCTTGCCTGTGAGATGCAGCATCTTTGTATCAATTCAGTGTGAAATCGCAGCTGCCAAACTCCGTAAGCATTCAACATTCGTAATTGAAATGTATCATGGGCACCCTTGGATATAAAATATATTTATTTTTATTTATAATGTGCCTTTAGCTGTCTCGCAGTCATTTCAGGGAAACAAAACCTATAAATCACTTCCGCTACCAGCAGTTCTGTTTGCCCACTCCCCTGGCTCCCAGCAAAGGTAATATGTAAATATTGGGTTTGGTTTTTTTTTTCCTTAATATTATTCTACTCTTTGAATGTGTTCCAGATAATTTCAGGCCACGCCAGCCTGCATGTTTTAGAGCTAATTGAAAGGCAAATCTGTTCTGCTGCAATAAACAAGGCAGGAGGAATTTTCTCCCTCAACTGCAGTTTCTAAAATAATTTCATGTCAAATCTTGGCTCAGATATTCAACCCCTAAGCAGAAGGATCGATACAATCCAAGTCCTTGCTGCTTAAAATATTGATCCTACCACGTGGTGCTGCCAGGATTTCTTACACCGAGCTCCGCAGTCGCTGGGATGGCCTTGGGTGATGGGGTGCGGCGGATTAATTAATTAATTAAATTAATTTCTCTTTAATGGGAACGTTTTGCATTCAGTTATTTTAGGTCACCTAAGGGAACCGAGGGCTGCTCTCGGGTTCGTAGCCCCACGAGTCTGGGCAGGAGCAGCCCTTTTGCTTTGCACCCAGTTGTAGTTTTGTGTAAAGCATCCAAATCTAATTTTTTAAAGCACAAAGTAAAAAATTTTGGTGTTTGAGGTGTGCCTGATCTCAACCTTGAAATTTTATGTTTTCATGGGAAAGTTTGAGTAATATCTGTCCCAATTCTTCATGCCTCCTTCTCCCTTCTCAGCTGTGCAGGTATAGAAATCCTCCTGGTTACAGCTCTTCACCTTTTCCCCCTGTTTGCATCTTATAACTTGATAATTAGAAGGAATTGTCTTTATTTAGTGATTTATTTGGTGGTTTCCAGCTCCTAGCAGTGAGGGCAGAGATTCAGGGGAGATATTAGGAAGAAATCCTTCCCTGTGAGGTGGTGAAGCCCTTGGCCCAGGTTGTCCTGAGAAGCTGTGGGTGCCCCCTCCCTGGCAGTGAGGTGTGCCCGTGTTGTGTGGCAGCATCCTGAAAGCCCAAAATCTGCTTTTAATTTAAGATTAAAATTTAATTTAAGATTCAATTTTAATCTATAATCTCTCCTGACCTGCTAAGCTGTGGGATAACATGACTTGTCATTTGCCTTGTGCTGGGAATCGCTTTGTGCGGGTAATAAATGTTCTCCCTTTTCCTTTTCTCTGCTGAAGATGCAGATGTTGAACCTAAAAATAAGACGTATGTGTGCAGAAAAATAAAAAATAGTGTGTGCGCACCAAAGCATTGAACTTCAGTAATTCTGCACCAGAGAGATCTCCCTTGTAGGGCTGGGGGATCGTGTTTGTTTCTCTCAAAGCACGCAGTTGTGAGGTAACTTAATACACCTGTAAGTGGTTTAACCAGGCTCGTTACATTAAACCCGAGTGCTTTAATTGTTCTTTTCTCCTGGGGAGGATCCTGTAACAGCACCTATGAACCCCTGCAGCTTTCTTTTCCTTGTGAACTGGGACTGCGGATATTCCAGGGAAACTCCTGATGGACCAGCAGAGCCCCGGTGAGGCAGAGCTTTTGTCTCATCTCTGTTAAAGATGGACTCAAATGACAACAGGCAGACAATCAGTTTTTACCCCTACATAAAATGAGAGCGACAGGCTCTGAAAAGTCACTTTATGCAGTGATTTATGGTCTATTTTTAAGGAATTTCTGCAGGTGTCTTGCCTCTCGTTTGAGAGCAGCTGCAGGATCTCCATCCTGGTGCAGGAAAATGATAGATTTTGCTGTTTTCTGCCCAGCTTGGACCCGTGCCCTCAGTTACGCGTGGTGCCATCTGCTCTTTGCTGGAGGAGCCTGAGTGGCACCTATGGGATAATTTCTTCCTCCAAATACCAGCAGTCAATAATACCAGCCCCTAAACCAACTCTGGCAGCTTAAAAGCAAAGCTATTTAGGAAGCAAAGAGAAAGAAAGATTAAGCTTGAACCTTACATGACAGAAGCCCATAGTCTTGTATATTTTTTGTCCTCAGTTTTGCTGCATCTTACCCCAGAGGGAGCTCCCCATAGCTGATATCTTATTTGTTTTAGTGATAAGCCGGTGTAGTTTTGGTCATTTGAGGGTGGGTAGCTTTGGTTGTCCATTACCAGACCTAACTCACATATGTAGTGATGAAATATTCCCTAAATCTGGCTACTGCTACTACTTTTTCTCCCTCCATTCTCATTGTAAACATTTTCTTCTTCTGCATTCTTTTAATTAGGATGTTGCTTTTAACCTGGCTTTCTCCCCTGCTGCCTTTTCTGAACTATGGTGAAACTCTTCATCGTGTATTTTGAAATAAATGTTGTGTTTCTGGTACGCCTGTCTTACCAATTATCCCAACTTCCAGCCTTTGAGAAGTTTCGTTAGAGATTCTATCAGAAGACTATGGTGTAATAGCACAGAAATAAAGGCATGCATGGGGCTGCTGGGTGGAGGTGGAGATGTTTTTGGGTGAGGGTCAGGCTCGCAGATGTTTTCCCTGAATGAGGGCCAAAATAAAAAATCTCTGCAGTTCTCTCCCATCTTCCTTTGACGTTTGTTATGCAGATTTTGTTTAAATAACGATGGCCATACTCGACAGCGCTGGAAGTGCCTAGTGTTTTAATTAAAAGACTCAGGTTTGGAGGGGTGCATAACTCACAGTGTTAATTTGGAGGAGGCTGAAACTTGGCAGATGCTGAAGCAGTTTTGGGATGCAGTCTGCAGGCTCTGCATCTGACAGCAGTGGCAGGAGATAATATTTCCTTGCAAGTAAAATACAGGGCTCTAACTCCTTCGATTAATCTTACGTGTTTGGAAATTTTGCTGCTGGTGACTGTTAAGCATCTTCCAAACTTTGTCTTTTCAGAGTCCGAAGATTTTGTGTCTGGTTTAAAGGCCTCAGCCTTGATACGGAATGATTAGGGAATTATTTGATGCAAATTTGACTTGCTTCTTTCAGGTGGCTTCGGTCCATACTGAGGGTGGCACTGAGAGATCCTTTGGTAACTGAGCTTCGTATTTTGACTCCTCTGTGACTCCATATGCTTTAAGGAAATAATACGCAGTATGTGAACTAATCCTGTGTACGCTTTGCTTTCAGGTGGACCTACCACGACTTTTTCAACAGGTATCGTGTTCTTATGAATAAGAGAGACCTCTTGAAGAGCAACAAGAAGTGGATCTGTCAGTCCCTGCTGGAAGGCCTCATCAAGGTGAGCTGGCACCGAATCTCATCCCTCAACCCCTGCTGTATTTTGGCTTGAGGTCCAGCTTTTGTGTGCAACATCATGAACTTTAGTAAGAGCCGGTTCCGTCACCCCGTCATTAAATGTCTCTTTGCACAAATGAGTAAGAAAAAAATGAAATAATTGCCCTATTTTGATGCGTAGGAGACTTCTAATGGTGACTAGCTTGCAGAAAAAACATCCCATGGATTGGGACTGCTTTTCCTTAAGCAAATAAGAAGTCATTGCCACCTCTCCTCACAATTTTACTACTCAGACTCGAGTGCGTACTTTTTAAATCGCAAATGCGCACGCGAAGGTTTCTTCTTGCTATTGAGGATCCCAGAATGCGCACAGCATCTTAGCCAAGCGTTAGAGTTTGATCCTTGGTTTCCTGTGGGATTTTGAGGGATTTACTCACTCGGGCTTCTCTCTGCAAAAGCTGTTCTCCTTCTGCACCAAGAAGAAGCCATTGTCTTGGCTGCAGAGCCATTTGCAGTGCAGGTATGACTTTGCAGATACAAGAAGTCTTTTCTTTAAATCATCTGGTGTTGCATTGCTCTATTTAACTTAAATAAATAAATAAACAAAACCCCAAAAAAACCCAGAAAAACCTTCAAAATGCATAGAAATATATGGAACTTAAGACTGAATCCCAGTGCTGCGTTCCTCAGTGGGTATATTAAAGCTCAAGTAGTTTGGAGTCTAATAATACCTTCATCACCCAATTAAGAAGGGATGTGAGCTCAGCTGATAAACTTGATTCAAAGTGGGTTTTTTTTTATCTGTATCTGCTTTAGCAACATAGACTGAAAAAAATATAACATGCTTGCCTTCATTAAATTTGGTTTCCTTTGTGCTTTTCAAAAGGATCCAGACAAGTTCCATCTCGGACACACCAAGATCTTCTTCCGTGCAGGCCAGGTGGCCTATCTGGAGAAACTGCGAGCAGATAAGTTCAGAGCTGCCACAATCATGATTCAGAAGACGGTGCGGGGCTGGCTGCAGAGGCTCAAGTACCAAAGGCTGAGACGAGCTGCAGTCGTCGTCCAGCGCTACACGCGTGGGCACCTGGCACGGAGGTGGGCCCTAGGGAAGGGCTATGGAAAAACACTTGTATTTTCAGTCTGCTCCGTCTTGTAGACCTTAGACTTAGGGGTTTCATCTGAGAAACACTGAAAATACTCTGCATGGGGTGTTGCCTTTCAGCCCCGTGAAAACGGGATCCATATTGTGCACGTAGGTACCGCTATGTTGGAAATTTCTGTGCTGACTTCGGGACTCACTCCTGGCCCCTCTCTCCAGACAAGAGATGACACTTCTTTGTCTCAATTTGATTTCGTATCTCTACTGATTTAATTTCAAGGTGCTGAGCTAGGGCTATAGCGCAGGTGGGTAGGCTGTAATCAGATGACTAAGGTACTCTGAGATATTTCAGTGAAACTATTTCACAGAACTAATATTTTTCCGGGAGTACCTCTGGCGAAGGGCGTTTGTGTGGGCCAGTGGGCAATTTGAAGAAGCTATGAGCCCCTCTTCTGCAGGGACCGGGTTTGTGCCTCCTTGCTATACAGGAGGAGTTCTTGGAAGTGATTTTCTGTATCCTTTGTAATGAGAAAATCACTGCTCAGAGAAGCCGTGGTGTGCTGGCTATATTATTTGGTTTTAAGCAGCAATGTTTTCCCTGGCTCTGAGTTAACATCTCCCTGTCAGGAGTGCCCCTACCTAACCTGCAGCCCAATTAACACCACACTTGGGCAACATGAGATGTTACCTGTCTTCTCCAAGGCTCCTATGCAGTCACTTCTTCACTCCTGATCGCTGGATGAATGTTGATTTCCATCGATTATTGAAGCAGCGAGAAGTAAAGAGCTTCTGTGCTCCTTCTAAGGGTTCCCTCTAAATCATACTGTATTTTGGAAGAACATCAGAGATGTAACTGCATTTGTGGTATTATTTGCACTTGTGAAAGAGGATTGACATCATGGAGAAGCCAGGGATGAGAAGGTCTCAAATGAGCAAAGCTGGGCAGTTTGACTTTCATTTAAAGCTGAGCACAGGTTTTTCTTGTTATCAGAGGTTTGTGTAGTTCTGTAGAATACAAGGGTACAGCTCCATGCTGCAAAGTCCTTGCAACTCATTAGGAAGCTCTGGTTCAGTGGGTCCTAATGTGAAACTGTTGGCCTTGACAAAGAGAATGTCAATCCGATATGGCTGGTTTCGTTTTGATACGCTTGTCACAAAATACAGAAGTGGATCAAATATCTACATAATTCTTCATGCTGAAAGCAATAAACTAATTATAAATTCAACAAAACAAGCTAATTATCAAATCAGATGAAGCTTTTATGGGCATTTGTTAACCCGTGTAACAGCAAACTGAACTTTAGTTCAGTTGGAGAATGGGAACAGCGTGTCACAGAGTTGACCACATCCCTCATTATTTACTCTGTGAATTGTAAGGGCTCTCCTCCTGAATGGTGCCAAACCAGTGCACACCAGTTTAAGTGTCAGGTCAATTTGCAACCGTTTTCACTGGTTTGGTAGATACCCTGCACAACACTTGCTTTTTATAGTTAGGGAAGCGATGGAGCCAACCTGGGTGTTGATTGACTCGAGTACTGAGGGCAGTGTCTTTAAACTAAGGGAAAAGCTGGAAAATACTGAGTTTTGATGCTGCTTAGGAGTAATGAGGTGTGTTGATTGCTGGTTCCAGTGCTCCCAGGTGCCATGGATGCTGTCTGATTGCATCCCTGTTCCCGTTATTTTAACAGGGATGTGCTATCAGCTGCTCTTTTCTTAGCCCTGCTGCTGGGATGCTCTGTCCTGAATAGTGTCAAGCTACTTTTGGACAAAAGGTCCAGTTTAAAACTTATTATGACAGGAATAAGGGGAAATGAATTTTACTGCTGACCCTTTTTTTTCCTGCGCTTTACAGGCTTTCCAAGCACCTGAGGAGGACGAGAGCTGCCATCGTCTTCCAGAAGCAGTACCGAATGCTGCGGACCTTCCAAGCTTTCCAGAGGGTCCGCAAGGCAACCATCACCATCCAGGCTTTTGCTCGGGGCATGGTTGTCAGGAAGATGTATCGCAAGGTACGACTCCACAGAGTGTGTTCGCATTAGAAAACATTAGGAAGAGCCTTTAGGTTTATCTCCACTGGCGCAGCGCGGCGATGTATTTATTGTGGCCTTTTTGACGTTTTCCGAAGCCGACTGCCTCTGGTGTTTCTGGAGAGCGCGCGGTGACGGCGAGCATTGCCATTTAAAGCTGTGCAAGCAAAAATGATTTTGGCAGCAGCACCTCAGAGGAGCTGCTAAATGAAGTTAGTCATTCGGATGCCGGAAGGCATCGTGGAAATCTGGAAATGTCATTTGATCTAACCCGTACTTTGCAGAAAAAAAAAAATCTCCCTGGCAAACAGAATTTGTGTCTGAGCTGCGCTGCAGGTGCTGTTCCCAGTGTGGTGGGGAGACCTTTGGGGTCTGTCATGGAAGGCATCGAGCCATTTATTGATATAAATGCCTCTTTAATTAGTTCTCTCCATTAGCTTTCTGTGTTAAGCCAGGAGCTGAGAGTGAAGAAGTAGATGATACGGTGAGTGGTCTTCTGTGTGATGAAACCAAGAGCTTTGTGGAATCTTCTGTCCACTATTCAGATCCAGATTTAATTTGGTAGTCAGCTAAATTTACACCTAATGTGAGGGTACCTGAAGAAGTCAGAGGCCTGATGTGTCCATCTTGGAGATGATGGAGGTTACCTGGACACCTGGTGACCCACCAGAGACAGCAGGGCTGTCCTCCAAAACACAGCACCTTAGATGATCAGGAATTACAGTAGTTCCTGGTGATCAGGAATTTGTGCTGCCACTGCTTTTTCAGCATTTATTTAATTTTTAAGTTGGAAGCCCCTGCAGGGGAGGCAGATGGTCCAGGATTTAAACTCACTTGAGTTTCAAGACAACTCAGAATCTTAAAGTGTAGGATTTGGCTGAAGGCTGGGCCTCTTAAATCTGAGTATCCTTAATCTCTGGAGCACCAGGATGCAGGTGTGGGATGGTAGCTGTTGGTTCAAGTGCATGCCCAGCAACAGATGCTGAAACTTATCCCAAATTAATAATAACAAAGCATCCTGTAATCTTTAAATTCTGCTGTTGCTCTCCTCGTAATACTGCAGCATAGATCAACACAAGAAATGTGCTGCCTGTATCTCTAATATGACAGTGTGCAGTTTTAGAGATGGAATTGAACTGCCGCCTACTGAAAAGATCGCTGTAAATTTTGGGGAGAAGTACAATGCAGAAGTGCCAGAAGTTTCATAAAACGAGATATAAGTTTCTGGAAATTGAATCATGCGAGAGAACTGGCTGCAGGCTGTAGTGAAAGGACTCCAGAGTTTTATTTGAAGGTTATCCACATGATAAGGAATCCCACCAGGACAGCATTTATCTGCAGCATAAATTATCATAATGCAGCAGCAGAAAAAAAATAATCTACTAAACCTGTTCTGGTGTTGAGTTATCTGTGATGCTGAAGGGACAGTAAATTTATTGCTGAGTGTTGGTGTGTCTGCTAATGGCTATTTATTCTGCTAGCTATGATTCTTGTGTGCTGTTCTGAGGTGGTCCGTGAAGTCTTACTTGAGATGTCCCCTGTACCCATCGAGTCTCCTGGTCATGAACCAGGACCGTCCCCCCTCATTTCACTGGTCACAAACCAGGACCATCTCCTTTCGTTTCAAGCAGGTCTTGACCTTCTTTTCCAAGTCATCCTGCTCTCTAGAGAGGACAGGATGGGTCCTGCCTGCATCAGTTGAGTACACTGACTGGAGAATGTCTAAGGATGGGGGATTGAAGTACCTGTCTATAAAAGAGGTTGAAAAATAATAACCTTTATCTCCAGCCATCACCGCCTGCCCCTACCAGGACGCTCCTGCTTGGTGGAGAAGCCCTTTCACAGAATCACAGAACCATTAAGGTTGAAAGAGGCCTCTAAGATCACCAAGTCAAACCATCAACCCAACCCCACCATGGCCACCAAACCACGTCCTTTTGGCGTTGAGTGCCATGCTGCAGCCAAACCAGGGCTGTCACTCCCTTTGTGGTTGACTTTTCTCCCTTGACCGTCCCATTTCACTCACGTTTTATAGATGCTCATGGAGCACAAAGCCATCATCCTCCAGAAGCACATCCGGGGCTGGCTGGCCCGCACTCGCTTCCTCCGCATCAGGAACGCCACCATCGTCCTGCAGTGCTACTACCGGCGCGCGAAGGCCAGGCAGGAGCTGAAGGCGCTGAAGATCGAGGCCCGCTCGGTGGAGCACCTGAAGAAGCTCAACATTGGCATGGAGAACAAGGTGGTCCAGCTTCAGAGGAAAATTGATGAGCAGGTACGTACGTCCTGAGCTGTGCTGGGACAAGTGTGGCCCTGCTTCTGCTTTGCTTCTCTTGTACTGTCTTTCCTGGGAAGGATTTTATCTTCCTGTGATGTGTAAGAAGTAAGAGCCGTGATGAGGGGTGAGACGGCGCGATGTGAGTGATAGATGCCTGTGGGATGTCTTGACGGTCATAATGTGACAACTTGATCAGAGAGGCCTTCATCAAATGCCACTTGTCATTAACGAGCTGCAGAATAATAGTTTGATTACATGCTTAGAAGGGTTTTCCTACCCACTAACACGAGATTTTGGAAGTTACTGTGATAAACACCCTCTGTGTTGCTTCCCAGTGCTGTGCAAGGACTTCAGGGATGAGTATAAGGTGAGCAGGTCTCTGTTGTACCCACTAATATTAATGAAGAAATTAATAACCATCTATATCCTTATACAACCCTTTTCCAGGCAGGAGGAACAGTCCCTGTAGGTCACTACTACATCTTCGTAATACCAGTTATTAATAATAGCAGTTTATTGTTGTGTTTCGGATGCTGTCAGGAACCCTTACCCATCACACGCCGTTTCCTCGCCACCTTAAATCTCTCCCATCCCTGTGCGACACAAGAGGTCCTGTGATGATGATGATGAGAAATGACTCTGCGTTGGCTCGGATACTGCGGAGTCAAGGCACAGGGGGTTTGCATTACTGCTGGCCGCATTCCTTGCCAAATTAATTGGCCCCAAACCATGCACCGCAGTGGAGTCCGACTTCTAAACCTTGAATTTTAAAATGCCTGCCTGCATACTTTGATTTTGCAGACAAACTGTAGCTCCGAAACAGAAAAATGCAGGCTTAATATTCTTTATATATCAATACATCGGAAACCTGTTTGGTATGACCCTTCGTCTGGAAGATACTTGGTGGAATTAATGAGGATGAGTCATTTCAGGTACACATATTTGGGCTGTACTCATGCCATGGCCTGAGTCTGCTGGACTTGGCAGTAGACCAGCAATATGAATTTATTTTTTCCTTGCCATTTACTGCTAGGAAAAGTGTGGAGGTGGGACAATAAAGAAAAAAAACACCAAAAATTTTGGTTAATGTTGGCTTTTCTGGCCAGAAAGGTCTCCTTTAGGGCAAGAGACATAGAGAGCTTTTGAGCAGGCAGTGATAAGGAGCTGGAGCTCCTCTTGATCCCCCCTTGGTCTCTGTGCAGACCATTTCGGAGGAGTTAATTTGATGTTCTCTGTGCAGCTTTTGCGGGAGAGTGTTGGTGCTCTGGACTACTGGTGGTTTTCTGTCCCTGAGCTCATTTTAAGCATCGTCTCAGGACTGACAGGTTTCCCTGGGATGCTCTGGAAGTGCTAATGAGCACCGCTGCAGTGGATTTTCTTTTCAGTGCACTGGATTTTTTCTGGCAGCGGCGAGTTTGTTGCATCACATTTTCCCTGAAGTATCTTGATTTCTTCGGGTCTTGCTCATCTATAAACACAACCTTTTAAAATGCCAATTAACTTTTTAAGGGGGCAAAAAAAAAAAGGCAGGTAACCTAGAGAGCTGCAGTTGTATCATTTTCTGTCTTGCCGTGGAAGAAAATGTTTCTATTTCTGCTGCTTTAGCTCATGCGTGAATAGAGAGATGTAATACTCCGTGTGCCCCTGAGGAAGAGAAGATCTTTCTTTGAAAACATTAAAACCTATTATTGTATGTCAGCCTCGGCCCATGCGCTCCAGCATCCGTGACTGGGCCTGTTTCATTCAGTTCCTAAATCGGGTGAGGGATTTTTTTTTGCACACACAAGAAAGACTTAAATCTGTTTTGCTGCAAAATATCTGCACTGGACCGCTTTTTTTCTATCCACATCAGACCACTTTCTACTTTTTATTACTATTTATTGTCAGTTAAGTGAGGTTTTTTTTTAAAAATGAGTATGTTGTTGCTGCCTGAGACACTTTTTACACAGAAACCTTGGGGTGCCATGAGGTGGTGTGTGTTGGAAAACGAGCAGAGACTGGGGAAGCAGCAGAGATTTGTGAGCGGAAGCAATTACTGCCATTCTCCATAGGCAAAGCTTTTCTCTCCAGAGAAATGGCTTTGGTCGTGCAGAAATGTTAATTCCTAAATGCTGAATTTTTATATTTGTTAGTAATTCATTAAAGAGGAGGAAAGGAAAAGATGTTTATGTCCCTCGTTTACTTTTTTTCCCTTTGAGACGTGTCTTAATCCTGCCTTGGAGCGCTGACACTGCAACATGAGGTGGTGGTGTGGGGTGTCACCTAGAGGAGATAAAGTTCTCTACTTTCGTGTGGTTTTTTTTCTTTTCCAGGCTGTAAGGGTCTTTGAAAACTGTTGTCCATGACCTAATGGGAGCCTTTGGCCCTGTTACAGACATCGATCATATTTCTTTGCGTTGATTTTGGTTTTCTTCTTGCTTACTTTGCTGAACATCTTAGACGAAGAAGTTGCATCTCAGGATTTGTGACTTTGCACCTTTACTGCTTGTCCTGACCAGTCAAAACTTGTGTATCGGGTCTTCCCTAGTCCGTTGACTTCTTGAAATGATAGATTTGTGTCTTTTAAGACTTTTATCTTCTGGCTTGGTCACCTCAAGCTTTTCTTAGCCCCTGCATTTTCCAGCAAGACCAGGAAAGACCAAAACTGACATTTCTGATGCTCAAGTGAAATGTTCACTGAAGTCTCATTGGAGACTAGTGCAGGGCTGGCTAACAACGGTGATATTTTATTATTCATAGTGTCGCTCCCATTGACTTCGATTTGAACCGCAAAAATCAAAGCTGCTGAATTTTCAGGTCTCAGAACTTGAGAGCAAATTGTTGCTAAATGCTTTAAAAGAGAAAATCCAAGCGAATAAAAAGATGTCGGAGCTGGCACATGACTTAAAGCTGAGCTTTAGGGACCTCTTGGTGCTCAAGGCTGCAGTTACGCTGCTGAGCCTTGTCACCCTGCTTTCCTGCGGGCGTAGGAGTCAGGAATAAATGGATAAACTGCAAACTCGGTATTGCAAACCAAACAAATTGCAGACCAATTGCATTAAATAGGATTGTCTGGAAGCTGTAATAAAAGTGTAGGGTTTTTACTTTGTTTGCCAGTGCTATCACATGTTGTTTGCCTTTGCTTCGACTGCAGCATCAATTTAACAAATGCTAATACGGTAGTTACCAAAATATTACTGAGCTTTTGTCACAGTTTGGAAATTGCTTTTAGCTTTATGAGCTTTATTAGCAAAAGCATGGAAATGTTCATTACTGGAAATCTGTTACCCACCGTGCTCAAGGATTTTTGACAGTTACTTTTGTTGTGTATCAATGTGTGCGTTGATCTTATGGTTTTATTCTCTTCTTTTTTGGGTTGCCGGCTGCAGAACAAGGAATGCAAACTCCTGAACGAGCAGCTCGTCGTGCTCAAAGCTGCCCAGTTAACTGAGGTGGAAAAGCTGAAGAAGGAACTGGTGCAATACCAGCAGAACCAGCGGGGTGGTGACAGCCAGCTTGTCAGCCTGCAAGAAGAGAGGGATGGCCTCCATCTGGAGCTCAAAAAGGTTCATGCAGAGATGAAGGCCATGGAATACAGCTATGTTAAGGAGAAAGACCTCTTGAGAAAGGTACGTTTATCTTTAATGTGTTGTGGTTGAACCCAGTAAGCAGCTAAACACCACACAGCTGCTTGCTTAGTTCCCCCTATCCCCGGTGAGAATTGGAGGAGAGAGATAGGAGCACTCGTGGGTTGAGATAAAAACAGTTCAGTGGCTGAAATAAACCAAATTGCAATGATAATAACACTAATGAATTGTCATAAAAATAGGAACAATTATAATAAAGCAGGCAGTTAGCTCATACAGCAGTCGCTGGCCATGCACCAGCAAAAACATGATGGTCCCTGTAAGCCTCGGGAACCAAATGATGGGAGAGACCCTCTGGGGATGGTACCCATTGAGGGGAAAAAAGCTGTCCCCAGCAAATTCTCCCACTTTATAGCGAGTACGACGTTTTACCCTCTATTTCTCACTGGTCAGGTTTATTCTTAATAACCTTCACACCTGTGCTGGTAACCTAAGGCACTGAGGTATGAGTTTAGTTTACTGCTGCGAGTGTTTGTTGCTCGGGTTAAATCCACGATTTTTCTTCTTCTGCGCCAGCAATTGATGTGTTTTATTTGATCCTGGTATTGGAAAGCCCTCAGACGGTGGGTTTGAGTGAGTAACTGGGGGGGTTGCGTGGTCAGGATAATTTAATATGGACAACCAGCACAGCTAAAATGCATTTTTGTATCTGTGTTGTCTCTTGGCTGGACCAAGAGCTGTGAGAAAAGCAGTTACTCCGCTCTTTGTGTGCATATTGCACCCATACAGAGATATATGGAGTCAGTGATTTTCTTTTCACCAGCCCCACATTAGAAGATCCTTTTTGGCACAGCGCTCAGTTCATTAGCTTGTTGGAGCTCAGGCTTTTGGAGCCTGAAAGGATGCTTTATTTTGAAGGTGATGCAGCTGAGGAAAAGATTCCTTCTCTTTGTTCTTGACTGCAAATCCCCTTCAAGCGCTCGGAGAGGTTGATTTAATCACCAAAGAAATGCTTTCAAAAAGCATGAAAACAAAGCAAAAGCTTTCACTTGTTGTAAAAATGCCTACAGCAGAGCAAATCCTGTGTACTTTACCGTGACAATAAATGGTATAATTGTAAAACATTTCTACTCGGAGTGCAGGCTCCCATTTCTGACGTGAACTTTGGATCCTCATCATTGGAAGACAGGGAAGACCCATGTCCTTCCTGGAAACACTTGTTTAGGCAAAAATGGCTTTCTGAGGAGAATTCTGTCAGATTTTTGAGTAGTTCTAGTGACTACCAGAAACGTGGAAAGTGTCGTGAAACACCATGGTCGTGGTGGGATGGAGATGATACCCAAAGTCATCAGCCACTTCTTAGTGAGGCTCAGCCTTAATTTTATCACCTTGAGCTGGGGCTGAAGCTGCTGCAAGTCCATTTTAGTTATGATTTCGTTACCGATAAACCATCATTTAATTTCCTCCTTGTAGCTTTTCTCTCTAACTCCTTAATTTTAGCCTGTCTCCTCTTGAACCATCTTGTGATAAAGCTTAAAACATAGGATCTGGGTGAGCACCAGTAGCTCTTCCTAGGGCTTTCGGTAGCACCTCATGCTCTCAATTGATGAGCAGGGATGATTCAAAGCCTGGCCAGGAATTTTATTAGGAATATCCTAAATTCCACCATCCTTTTGTCACAAGATTAAGGGAGGACTGAAGCCGGATCTCATGAGGAGGTGGTTCCAGTGTAACACTTAAATAAGGGCTGAAGCCATCACAAGTGCTCACTGCTCAGCATCTTCCATAGAAATCCTTCAAAGCAGGTGCTCCTGCATTTGAAGCACCTTCTAAGATGCTTCCTACAGAAAGATGAGTACGAGGTACAAAAGGTACCAGTGTAGGTACCAGAGATGGAGCTTGTGCTGCTTGGCCCAGGGAAGCGGTCATCACGATGAGATCACGCTGTTGAATGCAGCAAAAATCCTGAGGATGAACGAAAAGCAATGGCATCTGCTGGTGTTGGTGTCAGTCCAGCCTTGTTGCGACAAGTGGCCTTGCTTCCCTTTGTTTTTAATAAAGAGGTAGTTAAAAAAATATTAAAAATATTATTTTGCAGGGTTTAGTTTGTTTTCATGAATTTTAGCTGGGCAGTTGTTGGTTTTAATTGCTATATATACTTGTGTAGTATAGGATACCTGCTGGGATAACTGGCCAAGCACCAGGGTACAGATCTTTTAACCAGCAAAGAAAACCTGAATAAAGCTCCCTGTCTGCAGGCAGGTGAACGTAACCCCTCTGCAGGGCCCTGACCTGCAGCAAGCACTCATTCTTTCCCTTGTTTCGTAGCGTGTATCCGACTTGGAAATGGAAAACGCTGTCCTGAAGCAGGAAAAAGAGGAGCTTAACAGCAGTATTTTGTGTCAATCTGAAGGTAAGGGAAATCCTTAGAGCATTGTAATGCCTTTGCTAAATGAAGAGCTTGACTGTTCCCTCCTAAAATTTGTGTTTTCCTGCGTGCTTTGCTGTTTGCCCCTACCTTGATAAAGTGCTGATCTTCCCGCACCCCTTTCCTGGTGGTTTTTTGCCATGGTTTTGTTGTGCAGGTAGTTCTGTTTGTGCTGTGCTACCGGTGGGATGGCAAGACAGAGGCTGGTTTATTAGGTGGAATGTGGAATGAAGTACCCAAAAACATTTACTCTGGGTGACATGGAAGGCAGTGAGATTGCTGGAGGTGGAGGGTAGAGAATAACACCACCCCGAAATTGATGAATAAAGGACCCAGGGACCAGCACAGTTAATGACATTGAGCCTCAACAAAGGATTTCTCTCATGTGGCAAGAGCCTATGAGTGGTTTTTAAAGCAGAGACTTAGATGGCGAGAAGCACCCAGAGGAAAGCAATCTGGGAAAATCCCAAGCCACTGAAAAAACCCTCATGTCTGTATTGAGCTTTTCTATATTTTTTTTAATCATCCTTTACAGCTTTGATTTTGTTGCAGGATTTACAAAGAGCATCACTCATCAGTCTGTGGATGTATCTATCCCTGCTCTGGGGTACTCCTGAAGTGCCCTCTTGCCCTCAGCCCAACACGAAATAAAGGAATGAAAATAACACGATGAAAAGAAACTTGCTGCAAATATTTCTTTGTTGCTTACGGGATGCTTTCAGAGCATTGAAGCTTTGGGGGCAGCAAGTGGAGGGGCTCGTTTTGGTGTTCATTGATTTAAAAGGACACATGAACTATACCTCTCTGTATTTCTGATTTAAGCATAATTGGTCTGATGGTTTGGAGGTGCTGGAGATTTTTCTTTCACTCAATGTGATCTCCAAGCAGAAGAACTCAAGTGGGGAGACACATCTAGATTGTAAGAGTCTCTAAATATTAGAGGATGCTTATATGTATTTCAAAGGTTCTTGGCAGAGAGCATTTTGTTAATTACTCGATGTTACTGCACATACTAAGTCCATTTTGGAGATCAAGATCATGTTTCCTTTTTCCTTTTTCTTATTTTAAAGATGAATTTGCACAAAAAACGGCTGATGAAGTTATCCAGATCAAGAAAGAGCTGGAAGAGGAGAGATCTCGTTATCAGAACCTGGTAAAAGAGTATTCGAGGCTGGAGCAGAAATATGACAACTTGCAGGATGAAATGACTATTATAAAGGTAACAAAACTGAAATTAATCCCTCTTCTGGTGTGTCGTGGACCTGATGTTGTTGGCTGGATAACATGGCTCACTCATCCCCAAAACGTGTAATAGAACTGATATTATTGTGCCATTTGTGCTTGATACTTCTTGAGCTCAGAGGGGTGCATCTGGTGTCACGAAGAGCCTTTAATTCATGCAGGATTTTAAACTGAGTTTCCCTATCTCTTCACGTTTTAAAGTATGCCCTTGTGTTAATGTGAGTGTTACGGTAGGGTGTAAGAGCTAGAAAATGGAATTTGCTATCAGGTGACAGACAAGCCTTTTGTAAATGTCACCTTGTTAAGAAGACAAATATTTGCTCTAGGAAACAATGTTTTGTGAGGAATCCTTCCTTAAACACAGAATGCTTTATCTATCTGCATCTCTTTTGGCAGCAAGTACCAGAGCACAAGAGAAACCCATCCAGCCAGAGCAGTTTGGAGTCTGACTCCAATTACCCGTCCGTATCAACCTCCGAGGTTGGAGACACCGAGGATGTCATACAACAAGTGGAGGTACAGTAAATGGGAGAGCTCTGCTCTGTGGGGATGTTTGACGTAGGTCTTGGACTACAAGGTGTGAGGGACAAATGTGGTTCCATGCCACAGAAATACCTTGTTCATTGAGGTAGAAGGCCTGTAGAGCTGTGATGCTGTAGCAAATGCTTGTTCATTTGTGGGGTCAGACTTAAATAGGGCTCTGAAAGGAATAAAATCTTGTGTTTTGGCCATACCAGCGTGAAGACTGATGAAAATTCATCAAAGTGTTGCTATATATAGTTATTTCTGGCATGGATGGCAATGACTCTATGGTGATCCTTCTTCCAGAGGATGCCAGGGTTCGTCACCCCCTTGCCCCGAGCGTTTTCATTCCAATGCGTCTTCATGGATGCTTTGCTGGCCAGCACAGCCCCTGTAATCGAGAGTCTCTTAATGCAGAAAAAAGCAGCATAAATTACTCCCTGGCTCTCAGGAGTCATGTAGGAATGGGAAATGTGGGGGTTTTTTTGCTTACGTTTGCTAGAATAGGCTGCTTTAGTCAAAGTAATCAGTATTGGCCGTGCTCTGTTATCATATATTCTAGGTGAAGCCAATTAAAAAACAACTAATAAATACTTGACTGGAAGGGAGTCAGTAGGACATTTTAATGTTCTTCTACATTTTAATGTTCTTAGCTCACTTCTCTGTTGGACTGTGAAACATTCAATGACTTATTACAATGAGTCAGCTGTTTATTGACATTAAAATTAGGTGTATAAAGTGGGGATTTTGGGCATTTGGTCTTTGAAAGTCCAGGATTTTCTTGGGGTACTCCTGTTACCAGCTGAGTAGGTGCTGATGTACAGTCAGGGTGTATCTGGCACTGTGCATGGTTATAAAATTTGACCAAGGTCTTCTCCTTTTCCCACTCCCCCAGGACATAGGGGCAGAGAAGGCAGCCATGGACATGACCCTCTTCCTAAAGCTGCAGAAGCGAGTGAGGGATCTCGAGCAGGACAGAGAGAAGCTGAAGACCCAGCTAGAGAAAAAGGAACAAGAGAGCAAGAAATCCCAGGTAAGAAATGGCTTTTCCTTGTTATTGATATTTCATGTTGGTAGTTGATCCCTGAGGACACGTGACATAGGAATTGAGGTTTGAGAGTGACAAGTTCAAGTCAGGAGGCACCAAATCCACCTGGGAAATGGAAATAGACCTTTTTGGCAGCTGAAGACAATTGGACAGAACTGACTTTTTAATTATTTTTACTTTTTAATAAACTGGTTATAACAGATTTAGGACGGTATCTTAAATATCTTGAAAGCAACGAAGTATAGAATAAATTTTGGAGCACTTTTTTCTGCCTGTGTTGATCCTGTTACCTTCTCTTTTGAGACATTTGAAGCGTGGACTGAGTTTTGTCAGCGAAGGTGAGAATGAGGAAGGAGCAGGCGAGTATCTGGGGGATTGCAGACAGACGCGATGCTGCAGCCTTACAGACGCAGATACCATTTTTGAGCTGGATCAAATGTAAATCTGTCAGGGAGCCTGGAAGAGGAAAAACCCTGGTACCCCCATCTCCAAATTCTCCCTTTTAATCAATTTAGGTTATTCAAGCGTTTCTTTGCAGTCCTGGCTTCCCCAATGCAGCGGTGCGTGGCGCGAGCTGATAAGCACTTCACAGAGGTGTCAGTCAGGCTTGTGTCCTCAGTTTGGCATCGTTATAATGTCTGTGGGGTTTTTTTTATCCCCAGTAATGATCATACAGGAATATAGCTTAAGTGGTGTAATAAATTGAAAATAGGGATATAGCTGGTAGCAGAAGGCGTTCTTCCTTTTCTCTGCACTGCAGGGCAGGGATATTCCTTTGATATATTCTTCCTTCCTTGTGAAAAAATAACTTCCTACAGTTGTGTCATTTGCTTGGAAGTGATTTAGGAAAAATAAATTTAAAAAATCAGGATTACTGACATCCCAGGGTTAACTTGAGGCAGGAGTCAGTCCTGACTTGCAACTGTGATCGGAAAATACAGCTCTTTTTAGGTGCCCGTGAGCTGATGTTTGGCATGGGGGGGCTTTTAATTGCACATCTCTCAGACACATCTTACTGTGCCATCTGTAAATGGGGAACTGTGATATGTTCAGAGGCCGGGGACGATTCCATGCCGCGTATCAGCAGTGCTGTGCGTGTGGTGTCCTGAAGCAGTGAAGATGCTTTTATATGAAATGCTGGGTAAATAGCCGTCACTCGTGGTTTCAGAGTTGAAATTTCTGGGGCTGTTGTTGCTTTGCTTGGGAGTTACTTTGTTATTTATCTATGAGATCTGTGTGTCTCTTGACAAATTCGATAAGAGACTCAACAAAATCATCAGCAGTAATTACTTACTTGCTTCACCAGATATTCTTACTGCTCAGCAATTTGCAGGAAACACAGAAATAGGAAACTTCCCCAGCCTCTCATCCTGGCTACAGAGGCAGATTAAAAACCTGCTTCCCAGCTGCTGTGTTGCAGATTGTTCCCCTAACGCCGTTGTTTGGAAGGTGTAGCGAGCCACAGTTGTCAAGATATTAATCAGAGTTTAAAACCATTTTCTCCTGAAGCGGCCCCTGCCCCTTTTCGTGTTGCTGGGACTCTGTCGAATGCCAGTTAATAACATTATTATGGTTGAGCTGATGTTGATGGAGGCACCATCTTCTGCCACGCGCCGGTTCCTCCAGCTGCTTTTGAACATTAATTTCTCTCTTTAATCCACACAGGCTGTTGAAATGGAGACTGAAGAGGCTTCGGACCACCATGAAGATTTTGCATACAACAGCCTGAAGGTGAGTGAGGAGCTCCCGCTTAGCGCTGTCACCCATTGCGTGCCTCCAACAGCCCAGACAAATTGTCTGAACATCAACATCTGTTTCTCAGAAACTCCTGTTTCTGAGCCATCCACGGTGGTAGCAAGAAAAGCAGTGTGGTCTTATCCAGCAAGTAACAAATACCACAAACAAAGTAACAAATATCCCGGAGCCATTGGTGTAGGAAAGCACTTAAACGCTTTCCTTTTACCCTTCACCTGTCTCTGAGCAGGATCAGAAATGAGTGGAGAGGGAGTTGATGCTTCAGCCACACGGCAAGAAGAGTTAAACCCAGTTTGGTATCAATTTCCCAACGCACACACGCTTTTCAAACTCCTGTTACCAAAACCAGCTATGGAAAAGCCAGTGGCTCACGCGCTCCCTCTGCTGAGCTGTGGTTAGTGTGGAGGAATTTCTGCATCGGATGCATTTCTCATCCCTTTTGTTTTGTTTATTTAATGGCAGATGGCATGAAGTACCTGATGGTGCACCATTCCTGATGGTGTTTGTTCAGCGCGGAGTATGTCCAGATGCCAGATCAGCCATTCTGTTCACACCTCTGCTGTGATAAGCAGCGCTATTTATAATTTGTGTGGATTTATAATTAGAACACCCGTTTCCTATGGAAACGAGGTTTACACAGCTGTGCTAGCTACACGCTGTGTAAATGGTATAATTTTCCCCCATCCCCCAGCCATTTTTGGGTTTGTTAGCTTGCCTGATATGGCAGATATCCTATAGATAAGAGGGACCATGCAAGAAAGGCAGTGAAGAGGGATCTGGGGGGAAAGCGTTTGTGCTGTTGTGGACACCAGAGAATTCACATGGATGGGGGTCAGTCTGGAGAACAAGCCTGATGAGGAGCGGCTGAGGGAACTGGGCTTGTTTAGCCTGGAGAAGAGAAGGCTGAGGGGGAGACCTCAGCACCACCTCCAACTGCCTCAAGGGAGCTTGGAGAGAGGTGGGTGCTGGGCTCTGCTCCCAGGTGATGGGGATAGAACAAGGGGAAATGGCACCAAGCTGTGCCAAGGGAGGTTCAGGTTAGAGCTAAGGAGGAAGTTCTTTCCTGAGAGGGTCGTCAGAAGCTGGACCAGGCTGCCCAGGGAGGTGGTGGAGTCCCCATCCCTGGATGTGTTTAAAGAGCGGGTAGACGAGGTACTTAAGGATATGGTTTAGGGGGTAGACAGGAACGGTTGGACGTGATGATCTCAGAGGGCTTTTCCAACCCAGCGATTCTGTGATTCAATCCCTGGGAAAGAACTGACCTCAAATCAGTCAGACACCAGACTTTCTTGGCTTGCTTGCAGACATCTCTGGTTGTGCCATGCAATAGTTGGGTGATGTTCTCGTTGGGTTTTGGTGTTGTCCGAGTGGTTTGGGTGCATGGGGATGGGAAGGAGCAGTCAGCAGCTGGTGATGAAGGACCTGATGCAAAGGAAAGGTGGGCTGGTGTGATTTGGGCCATGAGCAGGACCCTGGGGTCTGGCTCTGCTCCCCACCCATCGCAAAGATCACCCAAAGCAAAGCTGGACCCGAAGTCCACAAGAACGAAGCTGCTCTTGACCCAGCTGTATGCCTAAGGTGGGTTTTGGGTGCTGGTGAAGAGCTGCCAAAGGTGGTGTTAACACCTGCTTCATAGTGAAACACTGAAGTAAAGGCTGGAGTTTTATTCTTCTGTCTTCTACTGTCATGCAAAAGCACGTAAACCCTTCAGTTGTCTTGACACACACAGCGATGCTCACTCATTGCTATTCAGGAGAAGCAGTCGGCATCAAACTTGTACGGTGTTGCTCCTGCCTGTCAAATGCCAGCAGCTGATGAGGCGTCAGGGCGAGAAAATCCTCCACTGCAGACATTGCTCTGGGGTGAGGGAATTACAAAATGTCTGAGGAAAGAAGCCGTGATGGGAATTCACGCAGTTGTAGGTCACCTAATGGGATGCCTGCCATGAGGAAGGGTCATGGACTGGCAGCAAAATCCAGATCCTGGCATGAATTGATCGTTTGGCTGTGCTCATCCTGGAAAAGGATGAATTTATCTAAACTGGTTGGTGGCTTGGTGTTTTCCAGAGGCAAGAGTTGGAGTCGGAGAACAAGAAGCTGAAAAATGAACTCAATGAGCTGAGGAAGGCAATCGCAGACCAAGCAACCGAGAACAACTCATGCAATGATACTCAGGACAGCTACAACCTCTTACTGAACCAGCTGAAAACAGCCAACGAGGAGCTGGAAGTGCGGAAGGAAGAGGTGCTCATCCTGAGATCGCAGATCATGAAGGCAGCCCAGCAAAAAGAGACGGGGAAGAACATGGTAATTGAGAGAGTATTGGGTTTTCTTTCCCTTTTCCCGTTCTGTTGATGGAAATTCACAGCCATTTTTGCTTTGGTAGGCTCTGGGTGGCAGGATGGCATGGGGAGGTTGTAGGAGGTTCTGCCTGTGGATAAGATATAGTCCATGGCATCATCTAGGACTGCCCGAGACCATATGTCCTGTGGTGGGCTGTACTTCTGCAAGGCACTGTCTTGGTTTTGACCCCAGACAGGAGCTTTGAAAGGCAGGAGGAGATGTGCAGGATGTCATGTTGCTGTGTGTTTTCCATGTTGAATTTAGGAGAACACCCCCACCAATGCCAGCTGGCCGAACAGCGACAGGAACGTTGACCGGGAGGACGCGATCGAAGCCTACCAGGGAATATGCGAGGTGAATCGGTAAGTGTGGCCACGGTTTTTCCAGCTGCAGAAGGGGCTGGCCAAATTGTAAGAGATGAGATCCAGACCAAAATGAACAAAACATTTTGGAGAGTTACCAGCTTCTGGATTGTGTTCTGGACCTTGGGTCAAGGATGAGCCATAAAGATGGGACTAAAGATGTATGTTTTGTGATGGGTGAGATAGCCCTCGTCGTTGGGACCTCATGTTCCCAAGGGAGGGGAGATACTGGCCAGGTAGAAAAGCCAACGTGGAAGTGAGCTACAGTGGATTTTGGCTTTGCTTTCTGTACATAAATAGTACCAAGACTGAGATTTGGGATATATTTAAGGGTTATTTATTTCAAGGAGGACCTCGGGTCCTGCACTTGGGAAACAACAACCCG